AGAGATTATTTTTAAAACAATCTGCAGCTTAGACACTGATAGAAACATTATCCAAGGGAAAAGAGGTATGGAACAGAACGTTTGAAAATTGTATGTAAGTATGAACATTAAGGGTCTGACTTAAAGGCAGCACAGGACCTTTTGACATTTTCAAACATTTAATTTATTAATATTCAAGACAATAATCTTCTTTAACACAAGGAAAACTGTGTAACTTCCTCAGTCAACAAGGGAAAAAAACCACAACCTAGAATCCCACCATTGTGTTAGAATCAACAATTGCCAGAGCACTGACAATTTGCTGCATAAACAAGGGGACTGATAGAAGTAACAAGTCCTCATCTTCTCTGCAAAGTGGAATAGAGGGTAGCATACCTTCCCTGCAGGATTCAGAGATACTTATGGATATTAGAAAAGAGTGAATTCCAGCTTTCCAGTTGTACACAGCATTGTGGAAAGAAGTGTGTTTAAAGAGCACCTAGTTCATTTGATTCATCTTCCCCAAAACATGGTACCTTTTCTGTTCTTACCCTGTAACAGCTTCCAGTACTAGTGTACTGGATTTGGCTGGGATACAGTTGGGTTTCTTCACAGTAGCTCATATGGTGCTATGTTCAAATTTCTGGTGAAACCAGTTGATAACGCACAGATGTTTTTGTTACTGCTGAGGTCTGCTTACACATCCAAGAGTCCTCTGCTGCTCATGCCACCCTGCCAGAGAGCAGGATGGGGCTGCACAGGCTGGGAGGGGACACAGCCCGAACAGCTGACCCCAACTGACCAAAACGATATTCCATAGCATGTAATGTTGTCTTCCACAACAGAAGCGGGAAAAGGTAGAGTTTGACACACCTGCTGTTGCTTGGGGATTGGTACTGGTTGGCTGGTTGTGAGCAACTGAGCTTTTTTGCATCACTAACTTTTCTTGAGTTTGTTCCTGGTTTATTTTGGGTTTTGTGTTGTTTTCATGTTGTTCAGGGCTTTTTCAAACTTAGTAAATTGTCTTTACCTCAGCCCACAAATTTTCTTTTATGCTTCAAATTCGCCCCCCAAAAGTGACCAAGCAGCTCTGTACTGCTTTGTTGCCTACTGCAGTTGAACCATGATTCCCAGTTCTATTTTCCATACCTGTTCATTCCTGCCTCAATTTTGGCTAAAATTACTTTTCCTTCTTCTCCACGCTCCCTGTGCCAGCCCCAGCTCTTGCCCACCGCGCCCTACGCGTCCCTCAGAGCAGCCCCAGCGCTCCCGGCTCAGCCGAGCCGGACGGAGAGACCCTCCAGCCCGCTCCCACCCACCGCACCAGCGGGAGGCCCTTCCCCC